GATAATAGGAGTTCTATCCTATAATACTAGAGTAAACTAGGGTAGTTAAACACTATACTAATAGCTAAACTAATTCTAAGAAACAAGATTAACTCCTAAATTAGGTATAAACAAAACTTTATTAAGTAAGATTTTCTTCCTATTCTAGCCTCCTATAACTGCCTTTCCCTTATATGTAGCTTATAGCTACCTATCCCCAACCTTAATCCATTTCTTCCTTTAAAGTGGAATTATAGATCTAAAGAGTTATAGTTAGTTAGTTATATAGGATAAGGCAYAGGAGTCTAGTAACTATTCTAAGGAGGTTAACTTGCCTTTTGCCTCTAAAGAAGAGTGTGCAATCTTATTAGTTTCCTCCTTAAATTRKAATRAGGTAGCACTTAATAAGGTTRGGGAKRATTCCCTAGATTRGGCTTRTTTAGTAAGGAATGCTTTCTTAGCAGTCTTCCTTATTTTCCTAAGTTTAGAAACCTCTTTTCTAATTATTTCCTCTATTGCCTTCTTAAATTCTTTAAGAGAGTCTCTTCTTTTCTTAACCCTCTTTAATAAAGAGGAGGAGTATTTCTTGCTAGAGATCTTTCTCTTTTTAGGCTTTAGAGAATCCCTATTTCTAGATAGGAAATTTTCCTAAAGTCTAATTGCTTTCTTTGCCTTTCCTAGCTATAAATAATCTTATATAAAGTGTTGTCTATTGTAGAGGAAGTATGTTCTTGTCCTTCTAAAGGCTGCTATTATAAAGTCCTCCCTATAATAGAGGTCCCTTGCTTCCTAAGATTTAAGGATAAGTAGGATCTGTTTATAGTTCCTAGCAAGTATTAGCTAGGCTATAATTGCATTCTTAGTTAATTYAAACTTAGGAGGGAGTGCTAAAAGAAGGATCCTAATTTWCCTTTTAGGTTCTTTTATATATAACTCCCTTTTATTAACCTCTGCAATCCTCTTTGCTATTAAACTAATYTATACCTAGGCTAATCTTACTATRTCTTCCTCTCCTATTCTAAAGTTTATAAGTTRTTRTACTATTAAYATAGCATRTGCTATAAGCACCTTRCTRTACTTCTTCTAGAGGAAGAGCTAYATTTTAGTAGCTATCTTTGTATCTATTAATAATTAAATCTTATCTGCTTTATCTAAGCTAACTCTTAATCTTAGCTTATACCTGCACTTAGCATTCTCCTTTTAAAAGTTTGGCTAGCTAGCTATTCTTATAACCCTAGCATCTGGATTAAGGAGTAATAAATTGTCTAGGTTAATTAATCCCTTAATGTTATAGAAGATGCCTTTTCCTTCTAGGTTGTCCCTCTGTAGTTYAAACYATCTTTTCTAGTTCTCTCTTATTAGGATTAGAATCCTAATATAGGTCTAACTGTCCTTTTCTTCCTCTATTTTTAGTATATAAATAGCTTAGTCCTGCTAAGGCTTTAGTAGTAAAGTGAAGGGTGTGTATGTGTTTTAAGGCTTTGGATTTAGAGTCCTCTACTCCTTATAGCTGTTAGATAATCCCTTAGTCCTAATAGTTAAATGTTCCAAACCCTTAGGAACTAATCTGTCTTCTGTGTTTTCTTCTTGTCTAACCTGCTATTAAAACTCCTAGCAGTATAAGATAGGGTACTAGAAACTAGTGTCCTTTCTGTGTTAGCTTTACAAGGTAGGAGAAACCTTTACTACTTTAAGGTTAAGGTCTTTTTCCTTCGGCAAACCCGGGCTTATAACCTGTTAAATATTAGTCGGAGGTTCGCGGAATTTTAGAGGTGGAGTACAAGAGTAACTT